AGACGGGCCGGGGCTGCGGGCGAGGCCGCCCCGACAGCTTCTGATCTCTCCGCAGGGTCCAAAGCAGCCCCGGCGGGAGGGGTGGGGTGCCCGCGGCCCCGGCAGCGAGCGCTGCGTGCCCGGCCGGCTCCGTTAACGGGAGAGGGCGGAAGCCGCTGGGGCGATGCTTTTACAGCCCTAAGAGGAGCCACGGCTCCCCCGGGCCCGCCGCAGCCGCGCCGTTGATGCACTGCCGCGTTATCTTTACAGCACGCCCGCCAGGGTTTAAGGCATCCGATTGTCAGCGCTGCCCCCTGGGTTCTCTGCCACTTTTTGCAGCATCATTACCAACTCAGTGACTGACTGCTTGGGGCTCTGGGCCTGCAGGCTTACACACAATAAATCTCCTCGTTTTCATGCATTTTACATGTATTTTTAGTATAAATTTTACAATAATCTACAGATCTCGAACTTATTTGTGAGGGAAAGTGTTACAAAGTTCTATAAAGCAGCTTAATTTCTCTCCTTTTCACCCCCAGATCCTGAAATAAGAAAACATGGATGAGGTCGTGCAGACCCTAAAAAAGATCGAGCAGAACTACAAGCTCTTCCAGCAGCAGCAGTTCTCATTTATCAGAGCACTGGAACACACCCGGGAGGAAGCCCACGACTCAGTCAGACCTGTGTCATCCATTGTCCAGGTACAAATTATTCAGCACAAAGTGCTCCCTGCCCATGAGAACAGGGCCAGCACGGGGCTGGCGTGCACCTGGCGCCAGTTCAGGGATGAAGAAAGGGTTTTACTGAAGGGAAGATGGACAAAACCTCTCCAGTAAGGTTTGTGTGTAACTGAAGATGCGGGGAGAGAAGCACCTGTGTGAGGGCCTGCTGTTATCTCAGAAGGACTCTCATGGCTGAGCAGCACTTTCTGGTTTAGTTTAACACTGCTGAGGCACAGCCAGAAACACAGGGTACAGGAAAACAACCAAACCAAACCTCATTCCCCAGCCACACATGGAATCTGGAATCCTTAACTTGGAGGAACCAGCGTGCCTGGCTCTTCCCCCTGGTATTGGTGCTGCTGTATCTTTTTATGGTGCTTATTAAAAATAATGGCTGTGTCACAGAGGGAGGATGATGCATTGAGGGCTGCAAGTCCCAAGTGGGCAAGGGGTTTTCTGGGCTGCTAAGTGAATTGTCCTGGAAATTTTATAGCATGGTGTACCTAAAAGTAAAACTTAGACCACCTGGAGACAGAGGGGGAGGAAGAAAAATTGAAATCAAACCAGAACTGTGGATTTGAGAGAGCAGAACTTGGGCACAAATCCCAGATGGATGCCAAGGGCAGAGTGAAAGCCAGGCTGCTGTCAGCATTAGGACACGGAATGAGCTGGTTGTCTTTTCCAAGTGTGCCTCTCCCTAACAGAAGGGCTTTGCTCATTGCAATGAAGAGGATTGTGACAGACACTGCACTGAGCCACATTTTCCCACTGAGATGTTGTGTAATATTATGCTGTTTGCAGAAACACTGCTATTTCCCCCTGTGCTGCAGGTACAGTGCTACAAGGACCACCACTGTTACAATGCCACAGACAGGCGCATCCTCAACATGTTCATCTCCATTTGCAACGATCTCCGCAACCTCTGCCAGAAGCTGGGAACGGTGCATCCTGGGGACAGCGTGTCCAACGGCCTTGTGGAGAAGTGCAAAGTGCTCCTCAATGACAGCAACGACCTCACAGCCATCCGAGCCACGTAGGTGCCTCCTCAGCTCAGCTCAGCCCAGCCCAGCTCAGCCCAGCTCAGCTCAGCTCAGCTCAGCTCAGCTCAGCCCAACTCAGCTCAGCTCAGCTCAGCTCAGCCCAGCCCACCTCAGCCCAACTCAGCTCAGCTCAGCTCAGCTCCTGGCATTTGGCTGTCGCTGCTGGGGTACTGACACTGCACATTCCCACCTGGCTTCTCCACCACTTCTGTCACAGCACCTTCCTGCCTTTACTCAGGGTCCAAGGGGCTGCCCAGGTTCCTGTTCCAGCTGTTGGGAAACCACTGCCAGTGTCCATCCACAAACAGAGTGTCGCTCCAATTGGGAACGGCTAGGAAGAACGACACTGGATTCTCAAGGGAGTCTCAACAGGAGAATTCCTTAGTTTATTGCTTCAGGCCTGTCTTATAGACAGATACGTGGAAAGTACAGAAAGGAAACTCCTGTTGGTTAACAAAGTGCTACATTACCATCATTGGTCAGGGGCACTTTGCCCCCCTGACTCTCTCCTGCAAGGAGAAACAAGAGGCTGCAAAACAACACCTGCAAGGCTGTTTAGTGTCCCTGAGAATTGTTTTAATTCCTTCTCATATTTTTCCCAAGATACTTTCTCAGGCAGCCTGAGGAGCCATGCGGCCTGCAATTTGTACAGGCACTGTGGTTCAGATTTAGCATCCATAACAGAGTGCTGCTTTTTTTGTCCATCCTTTTTCTGGTGCAAGGCAGGGCACGAGAGTGCCCGGAGCTCTGTGCAGTGCTCGGGCAGGTTACCTGCTCCTTCCTCCTGCTGCTCCTCTGCACAGAGCTCATTTCTGCAGGGCAGGTGTCACTACATCCTCTCCAAGACTGCCAGACCTATGCCAGGGGTTTTTGGCAGGACTCATGCTGTGCTTTTCCGTTTTTGGCACAGGGCTGGCTGTGCAATCCTGCTCTTCCGTGGGCAGTCTGAGGGTGGCTCCCACGGCTGCACTGCTGGAGCTCCTCTGCCAATCCTTTCCCTCTGTCCCACAGCTACCCCCATGGTGTTGTGAACTACCTGAGCTGGGAAGAAGCAAGGAATCGCTATGGAGGGGTGGTGAGCCTCATCCCCATCGTTATAGACACCATGAGGGAGTGGATAACATACATGACGAGCCACCTCCTGCCTAATGTGAGTCCAAGAAGGACACATCCAATTCCCACACCCCACCTGCTGGGCACTTTGCAGCTCAGATTACATTAGTAACAAAAATACTGTATAATTGCAGGAAAGAGAATGCAAGAGGTGCAAGTATGAAGACCCACGTTTGAAAAATAAAGCTCCTTGGGTGCCACCAGGCAAAAATACGTATTAAAGGATCAAAGCTCCTGCATCGTCTCCTCACCAATTTTAACCTAATAGCTGATTAAATACAATGAAATGAAGACTATAGATCTGTCCTGAGTCCATTTCCCTGCTGCCAGCCTGCCACAGATGCATTGGCTGTCCCTTGCTGCTGTTTCCACTCTGCTCCTCATATCCCCACAGAAGCAGCTGCAGCTCCAGCTGCTCCCTGCGGCCAGCACTGCCGTGGGAGCAGGGAACACTCAGGACTCCTTAGATTCTAATCTCTCAAACATGAATCTTGGACAAGTTCTTTGAAATTGGATTTGACATTTTCTCAGCCTTCTCTCTGATGAACATCCCCTGCCTGGCACAGCCAGCGGGGTGAAGAAGCTGCCTGGCTGAAGGATGTGATGCAGAGCAGCAAAGGCCTGGCATCATTAATTCGGACACGTGTTGGACGTTTATGCTTCTCTCTAAAATTCCCCCACCCACACAGAAAGGATTTCGTTAGCTGGACCACAAAATCCTTGTTTACAGGAAAAACTTCCCGCAGTCGGACACGCGCCTGTGAGGCTGCACAGGAGCCCGCAGCGATGCCCCTCCCCGCCTCCCTCGTCCCCTGCCGGCCACCCCGAGCAGCGGAGCGGCTGGCGGGCGGTCCCCGTTCACCTGCAGGAGCTGGAAGAGCCCCCGCTCCTCCGCGTAAGCGCCCGCGGGCGGCGGCCAGGGCCGGGCTGGCTCCTGCACGGG